AATTAACATTTCCTCTGTTCATTAGTTACGTTTTGAGGCTTTACAAATAAATTCCATTTTGATTTTTTATTCACAATGAATTTTTATTCACACCAAAAAATAGAAGATTTACTGTTATGCAATACTGTAATAATTGTATAAATATCATCACCATATTTGTGAATGCATATTAGACCCACCAGCTGGTGTGTATTAGACGTGTGAGGTCGTTTGTTTGCTCTTGAATATCGGCAAAAATTTAACATTTCTGCTACTTTGAGCTCAGTTTCAAGCCATTTCTAGTGCTAAAACCAATCAAAATCTTCTCTATTTCTGTAATATGTCTTCCATTCTATCAAATGAGACCAAGAAATCGCAAATACAACTATATAAAACATATGAAAAAACACTGCAAAGTCGCTGTTTTAATCGAAAAATCATGATTTCAGTTTTTTTTTCTCATTATACACAGTGTGCTGCAGGATCTGTTTTATGTGGTGCACACATACCACACAGATGTATTCTCTCATATCTAGGCCCAAATGTACCACTCACAGTTTATCAGAGTGAGCTGAGCTCATGACGTAGATCTACGGTTTGGACCCTGAACGTAAAGCCGTAGATCTACGGGACGGACCCTGAAAGGGTTAAGGAGTCTTAATGTTAACTATAATGCCAGTCTATGTGACTCACAAAATTGTAATAACATGATTGGGGCTTGAACTCTTGGAAAGTGATTTGTGAAACTCCAGGCCAGCGCGTAAGCTACTGGGTCAGCTGGCTGCAATAAGATTCATCCGATTAGGTATATTTATACACCATAGGGAGGCTAGCATGGGTCCCACTGTGACCACAAATGCAAGTTTTTACAGGTGAATCTCCCACTAGTGTGATGAACTCTAGCTCAAGTTCCCTTAAAAGCTGTCATCCTGACTCAGTCGTGTTATTAAGATTTCATGAGTCATGATGACAGCTTGGAGGGGACTAGAGCTAGAGTTCATCATGGCCATGCTGTCGGGAGATTCAGCAGCAAAAACTTGCAATTCTAGTCACAGTGTGACCCATGCTAGCCTCTCTATGGTGTGTAATTATAACTAGTTGGATGAATTTTATTGTAGCCAGCTGGCCCAGTGGCTAACACGCTGGCCTGGATTTTACAACTCACTTTTTGCAAGATCAAGCCCCATGTGTGCTGTGGTTTTGTTTTATGCCAGTCTACTTTAACCCTTTGACTGTTTCAGGCCCCTTTCTGAAACTGTCATTCTATGTCGCTAAATTTTTGAAAAAAAAAAAAAAAATTATTTTTTCTTATGAAATGATAAAGAATCTTTTCCCGATGGTAATGACACCAAACGTTTGAAATTTGTTCGAAAACTCAAGGAATTACGCTCCTGCGAAGTTAGCAGTCTCGGCGACATATGCGTATTGGCGATTTCGCCGACTTTGAGCCCTATTTTCAGCCAATTCCGTTGTTCCAGTTGACCAAACTCATAGCTATTTCTTTAGAACTCCATTTTATCTATCAGCTGAGTACAAGAAACCTCCCATTTACCAGTTTGGACTACCCAATATTGTGGTCAGAAAATGGCAATTTGGCCAATTTCACGCAAACTAAAAAAGATGCCAATTTCAAAATAGGGTCCAGAATAAACAAGGTAGACATTCTTGGCACTAAAATAACTATCCTCTGTTCATTAGTCACATCTCTAGGCCCCTCTTTATTATTATTGCTTTCTATTTTGATTTTTTATTCATACAAAAAAAATACAAAATTTACTGTTATGCAGACTACTGCATTATTGTAAAAATGGTATAAATAATATCAGTGGCACTAGTAAAGAATAAAAGACTCCCCCGTTGACGTGTATTGGGCGTGTGGTGTGATTTGTTTACTCCTGAACATTGGTAAAAATCGAACATTTCTGCTACTTTGAGCTCAGTTTCAAGGTCGTTTTCATCGTCAAAGTAATGAAAATCATCTCTATTTCTGTAATATGTTTTCCATTTTATCACCTAAGACCATGAAAACACAAATACATCGATAAATACTATACGAAAATACACCTCAAAGTCGGCGTTTTAATCCAAAAAAACGATCAGTTTTTTTTTTCTCATTACGCACTGTGTAATGCAGGATTTTTTTTATGTGGTGCACACTGACCACACAGACCCATTCTCTCACATGTGGGCCTACCAGGTTTCTTCCGCTTGATTTGAAGCCGCTAGAATTATTGAGTATATATACGTCTGAAACACTGGCTCGTAAGACGTATATATACAACCAAAACAGTCAAAGGGTTAATGATCTCATAGGTCTAAGTGCTCTGTAAATATCAAAACCTGCTTCCTTTTTTCTTACATGTCCCTCTTTCCTTTTCTTGAGAGAAATAAGTACATCTGGTCAGCAAAAGAAATAACTTTTAAATTTGTAATTGAAATAGAAAAATAAGTGTAAGCAGTAACACTGAAGGCTATTTATGAAATTAACATAATTTATGTCGAGTTTATCATACCCTAACAGGCTTGAGGTAACGTACGAGAAAGTGGACGGAATGAAATTCACCGTAAAGGGAAAGGAAGGGGACAACCTCCTGGACATTGCTGTTAATAATGACTTGGACCTTGAAGGCTTTGGTAAGTGTGATGCAGTTTGGTCAGCCCACACTTACAGTTGCCCTGTGTAAGTACCAACTGGATATTGTATACATAGTTCCTGTTTGATTCTCTAGCATAGTCCCAGCCTGAGTCTTGTCCATGTGGTGACCTGGCTGTACGCATGGTGATGTGGCATGTGTATACAGTATGATAAGTAGTAAAATGGGCTTGTGAAAAGGACATAGTCTGGTGTTGCAAGTGAGGAGAGGTCACTCTTGGGAGGTGAGATGATAATATTGGGAGAAGTTGATACAAATATTGAAGTAAAATCTAGTTGAATTGGAGAAAATTGTGCAGGCTTTTGGACAGTTTTATTACTATGAAAGTCTATTTTTTTTTTATTGTACTATATATTGGCTGGTTTTGTTTACTGGTGAAATAAGTACATGGAAAGTCTTAGAACCTTGATATTATGCATATACAGGTTGGCCATCATTAATCCAACAATCAGTAATCCGGTTCCATCAGTAATCCAGCACTATTTTCGGCAAGCATAATTTCAAATTTCTGGGGTTGCCACACCAACCTGCCGCTACCATTCGGTAGTGCTACTTGCTGCATAAGTCATTCCAATTACTTTTTCTCCATTTATTGTTATAACCTGGTCACTTATAGCCCTAGCCATGGTTCCAATGAATAAAAGAAATGCTTCTCATTGTGTAAAGCACATACATTGTACATAAAAGATAAGGTGGCTTTGAAGCCACTGTCGGTCTCCATAAGCTCAGCTCACTCAGATAAACTGAGACCGGTAAATTTGGGCCTACATATGAGAAAATAGGTCTGTGTCATAAGTGTGCAGTATTCAAATTCAAATTTAGTCATTTCTTTGCAAGTAGTACATTGAGATTATATTTTTACAATAATGGGTTGCAGTGCAAAGAGAGCCTCTATTATGCCTAGGCATTATGGGCTGACTTAATTTAATGGCTTACTGACTACTTATCACTAAAGAAATTATCATAGTTGGAGTAAAATAAAGATTGGATGTGAAAAGTGGGTTATAGTAAGCGTGTATGCACCTGGAGAAGAGAGAAGTGTAGAG